TTTTGTACAGCTAAAATTCTTTCCCCAACTCATATGGAGAAAGAATGGGGAGAAATAATAAAGCAACTGTCTATGCTTTCAACTATGAGATGTGAACTGCCTCTTTGTACAATAAGTTCCTATTCAGCCCTCAGAAACTTTTTCAAACACTGCTTCCTCTCGGAAACCCTCCAGAGTTCTCCTCCAGGGCAACAGAATCAGCTACCGCCTGTACGGACGTTCACATTACATGGCAAATGAATATGTCTAGTGTGGAATTATCCCACCGTGTTCTCACTATTTTTTATACTTCTTGGCTGGAGACTCTGTCCCGTCTGTGGCCATGTCCCCGGTTGCAAGCAGAGACTGGAAAATAGGAAGAGGTCGATAAGGGACTGACCTGAATTGAAGCATGAAATTAGCAGACAGGAAGTCTTGATAAACCGGCCGCCTCCTCTAGCACATCGGGAAAGCAAAAAGACAATCTCCCTGTTAGATGACAGGACATGGCCTGCTCGCAGGGTGACTGGACTCAGATGCAGTTACCTCTGGGAAAATTAAGCTCACACTCGGATAGTGAGGTGAGTGGGGAGAGAGAGAACACGCCAGAGGGATTGTTCAGGTGTGAGGTGTGGCCAAGAGGACAGAAACCCGTCCCAGAAGCGCCACCTCCTGGCTATGTGTGGCTTGAAAGGAAAGCCGCTGCTCCCAGTGGCTAGGACCCAGGAGCAAGCAGCCCAGGAAGAGGACACTGAAGACACCTGCTCTCTTCCTCGTTCCCTTACCAAGGGTTCAGCTGCGATACTTCCAAGACCAGGGCTAGGTCCTCCCCGCTCCCACCAGCCTTCCCACTATGGGCAAACAAGACACTCACTCCTTCACCTTTACCCTGCTTCTTAGCTTCCCAGGCCAGCCAGCTGCCACCCACTGCCACAGCCCACCACGCTACCCCTGCTCTCAAAACTAGTCCCACCTCTCACCGGCTCCCTAAGGCCCCGGTACTTGTTAAAATGTACTTCTTATTTTTCAGAAGTAGACATGGTTCAGCTGTTAAAGTGCTTGCCTTAGAAGCTGAGGACCTGAGTTAGATCGCCAGCACCCATGTTGAAAAGCCAGCACCGTGGTACATGCATGCAACCCCATTGCTGAGGAGATGGAGATGAAGACGGGGGATCTCACTGGCCAGGCAGCCTTGTTGAATCAGTGGGTTTCAGGGCAATAAGAGACAATATCTCAAAAAACAAAGAGAAGGCACCAGAGCCACTGCATAAGGTTGACTTCTGGCTTCCATACACACTTGTATACAGTGTATGAGAACCTATACACACACGTGCATAACTACTTATACACATGCACCCACTCTCACGTGAACATAGCATGTACACACACATACACATGCATACACACATGACACGCAAGTGAACCAACACCCACACAAGCAAACACACAATGCATGCACATACACATGAACATACAAGCACAGATATATGCCCAAACCAACACCTACGTAAGCAAACACACAAGTCATACACAGACTTGCACCACACCAACATGAACACACATACATACACAAAGACAAACAAAATCACACAAAACCCATATGAACACACACTTACACATACAAACACATGAATACAAGTGTATGCAGGTTCACCCACAAGCCCACACCCACCCACTTAAACACACAAATAAACACACACATACCAACATGAACGCACACACAAACACACCTTCATTTATGCATCCATACCCACATGAACACATGTGTATACACACAAACATGCACCAACACACACACACAGAGATACTCACGTGTATACATTTGTACACATAATCACATACACACAAGGTGATCTGTCCCAAACTACCAAGAGGGGTGAGGTGAAAAGTCGTGCTTCTGGCCAAGAAGAAAAAGGGGAACACAGGTAATGAGGGCTGGGGCTAAGGCCGCAGAGGCCGTGCAAGGCTTTAGGAGTCCAAGCAATGGGGTGGGGTGGGGGACCCGAAGTACTGAGAGCACCGTGTCATGGTCATGGTGGAACCAGTAAGGCAGTGTCTCCTCTGTCTCTATGGGTCTTCCATGGGGCCCACAAGCAAGTATTTTGTCAAGGGCCCAGGAAATCCTTATGCTGAGGTTGTCCTCAGTGGGTGCAGTGGGGTGCAGGGGAGCAACTCAGTCTGTTCATCTCCAGTGGGAGATGACATGAGGTCAGATCCTGGCCCTACAGATTTTGAGGAGTTGCCTCTCTGAGCATCAGTCTCTTCGTGTTCAGGCTGGATACTCATACATGCTGAGTTTGGTGAGAACTAGAGAGTTCAGGCACACACAGGGGACACACAGGTGAGCATTTGTCTAACGACTCACTTAACCCAAACTGATACCCAGAAAGGGAGTCTTGCTCCATCATGGCTGTCATTCCTGTTGCTTAGACAGGAATGGTCCTGATGCTGTGGGAGGCCCCAGTCCTAGGGATGGCAACAGGTCTCTGATAGGGACTTGCTCCTTCCCATGCGTAAGGTCTTCTGCCAGCAGGGCCTAATGAAGTCTAGGGGATGATTCCCCTAACAGCCCTGGCACTAGGAGGAGCCTTTGGTACTCTTGGCTTCTAACTTGCCAGAACAGGGGGTGGGGTTAAAGCAAGCAGGCTTCAAATCCAGCCCCAACCCAGGCTCTGCAGAGAGTATGCTGTGGCCCAGGCTGTAGGCTTAGCTCCCCAAATCTAAGGCCTCCCAAGCTGCAGGCTAAGCATCCAGATCCAGGGACTCCACGCTGCCTTTACCTCCTCACTGCTCCCAGCCCACTCAGACATCTGTCAAACAGGAAAGGCTGTGCCGCGAGTCTTTTTTATACCATTAATCAAACCTTTGAGACCTGGAGGATTAAAATCACTTGCAGCAGAACCCAGGGAAACAGCACAACCCAAGCCCAAAGCACAGAAGTGTGCACAACCACCCTACTCCAGGAGCCAAGACAGCTGAGACCTGTCCATCAGATCACAGAATCAGGCTGGAAGGTGTTCAAGGGCCAAGAAGGGAAAAGCTGCCTGGTGTCCCTGTGCCCACCTTCCCCATGGTTTTTCCCAGGGCTAGGTTACTGAAAAGTCAGGCCCTCCAAGGTCACCACAGGCACTGAAGTGGCCTCATCCTCAGAGGTAGACACAGTGGGTCAAGGGACAAAAGGACTCCTGACCCAGCATCTCAGAGCCAGTTAGGTCAGGAGGCAGGGCCGGATGTCAGGTGCAAGGGTCAAGTCTCATTTTCAACTTGACAAGATTTAGTCACTAGGAGATACACCTTTGGACATGTCTGTGAGGGTAACATTTCCAGGTTTACATGGGGAAGGCCAACACACTCTGAACATGGGTGGTACTATCCATAGGGTGGGGCCTGGACCAGATGAGGAGACTCGAAGCTGGGCAGCAGCGTTCCTCTCCATCTGCCTTCCGCAGAGGGTGCAATGTGACCAGCCACCTCATATTGTGAGCTAAAATCAACCCTTACTGCCTCAACTGCTTTTGTCCCAAAGTCAAGAAAAATTACCGATAAAGCAGATATCCCCCAGCTTGCCCGTAGGGGTGCCATCTAGCATCTGCAGCCATTGGCACTGGAGATCCCTCTGTTCCACGTGGGCTAAGATTCCTCCCGTTCCACTGAGGAAGCAGCTAGGCCTGGGGCCTGAGTTCCCACTTCAGTCTCACACCTCCCTCAGCTCCCTGGCTGTGCTCCTTCCTAAGAACCCTGGTTCAGGAAACTCTTGCCCGAGCTCCTGCTCTGCCCCCCCCCCCAGGTTTCTGTATGACCCAGTAGACATGCCTTCCCTTTTCTGAGCCTTTGGAATCTGTGAACAGAGGCCACATAATGGACAGAGTCCACACAGCATCTTCACCCGGTCTACCATAGCCCCTCAGTAAATGCTGAGTGACAAGTGTCCTGGCCACTACCGAGCAAAGCAGAGGGCCCTGTGAAAGCAGGTCACCTGCCCTGAGAGCCTAGCTTCCCAAGCAGATGGATTTGGTGTTGGAAGCAGTGGTGTTTATATCCATAATATCATTTTGCACTATCCAGGGTTAGCACAGCTAAGTCCTTTCTGCCAGGTCTGTAAAGACCAGACCCGCACAGATGTGGGCTGTGCTAATCTTCAAAAAAGATGTAAGGCAGGGCCACACATGATGACAGCTTCTGCTCTTTCCAAATAAGACACGGGGGCTGGTGAGATTGGGGAGGGGGGCTGTCTGGGTGCTGCACCTGGTGCCCAGCACAAACCACAGGCCCAGAGCCCGGACTGCTGTTTCCCAGCTCCTCCTCCAGGTGGCTAACAAATTCAGAGCACTGTTCTATAACCTCAGTGGTCTCCGGGGTGAAGGCTCTTCCCTCCTGTGTGGCAACCACACTGCCTCCCCGTCAAGGCTAAGCATTGTCCTCTTGGCCCCCTTCCTCTCTCACAAAATCAAGTCAGTCCTGGGCACCCCAACTCTGTTCCTGCCCAAGCCTCTGTGGCATTTGCCTCTCCATGGCCTCCGTCTGGTGATAGGCCCTGGAGCTTGTCTTGGGAGACTCATTCAGTTTTCATTGGACAGCTGTTCAGCTTTCACAGGACCAACCGTCCCTTCCTAGGGTTGACCATATCCAAACATAAAGTAGTTCCGTTTAAAGTGAACTCAAAGTAGGAACCTGAGCCTGTGCTTGGAAACCCACCTTCATTCTGTCTCTCTGTGGAAAAGACAATCCCCTGCCTCAGTTTCCACCTCCATAATAAGGATTTTCACCCTGAAAGTTGTCTAAGGCCTGTGCTGGAGATTTTGCCTGCATTCTGGCAAGAGTTCGTACTTTCATGGGTATTTCCATGCTGCAGAACTTTTAAGTCCTGGAGACACTCAGAGAGGTTATCTCCGCAAAATTTATGGACCAGGGGATGGTAATGTCAAACCAGGTCATACCCCAGGATGACCCCAGAACTTTGAAAATACAGAGATAGCAGAACTAGGGCCTACCCCTGCCGCCCTCTCCTCTCTCCGCACTACCTTCCTTGGGCGCATTGACGTCCCAGACGCTCCACATTTGTACGAAGAAGAAAGGCGTCCAGCACACGATGAAGGCCAGTACAATGATGAAGGTCATCTTCACTGTGCGGATCTTGGCCTTGGAGATGAGCTTGACGCTACTGACTCGAGCCAGCGCCGCGCGCCCAGCTCCACCGGCAGCAGATCCCTCAGTCCCCTCGGCCGCCGCCGCCGCCGTCTTGAGTCGCAGGTTCTGCCAGATCTTGAAGCTGATGAGGCCATAGCAGGCGGCCAGCACTATGACAGGCACAATGTAGACGGCAAGCGTGATCCACGTGACATAGGCCTTGGGTCCCCAAGGCTGGATGAAGACAGCCCAGCAGTCAAAAACACCGTCCGCCACTTCGCGCAGCGAGAAAATGTGCACCTGCGGCGCGCTGGCCACCAGGCAGCCCAGCCATGTCGCTAGCACCGCCAGGCGGTCGGTTCGGCGTCGCAGAGAGCGCAGCGGCTGGCAGATGGCCAGGCAGCGGTCGAGCGACATAAGCAGCAGCAGGTAGGTGGAAGCGAACATGCCCACCACCTGCAAGTACTTGACCAGACGACACAGCAGGTCGGGCCCGTAGAAGCGGAAGGTGATGTCCCACAGCAGCTGCGGGAGCACCTGGAACACAGCCACCACCAGGTCAGCGATGCTCAGGTGCTTCATGAAAAAAAAGAGGCGCGAGTGCTTGTGGCGTGTGGTGCGCAGCGCCAGCAGCACGCACGCGTTGCCGCTCAGCGCCAGGAACAGAATGAGGCACAGCACCGCCACCTCCACGCGTGCCAGGGCCTCGTTGCGCTGCGGTGGCCCGGCTGTGAGGTTCCCCTCCACCCCCGGCGACACTCCACTCCCGAGGTCCAACTCGAAGCTCCAGTTGGCTGCGGGGGTGCCCTCCATGACCGTGACCGCGACCGCGAGGGAGCGCCCGGCCTTGCTGCTCTTTAAAGCGTGGCTCGTGGGGCGGGGCCCGATGAGTTGTCCAGGTGTCTGCCGGAGCACCCGGGCACTGATCTGCCTCCTTCCGCCCTGAAACAAACCGAGAGGGCAATGAGAAGATCTTTGCGCTTCTCTTAGGACGCCTGTGGGGCGTGCCTGGCCCCTTCCTGGCAATCTGAAGTTACCTGGATCTCAGGACACAAGCCCAGCCACTGGGCTGCTCAGCCACCACCGCGGAAATCCCGGTTTGCCTGATCTCCTTTGAGTCTCTGCAAGATGCAGACCTCCTTTGAGCCTCTGCAGATGCGCTTGAGCTTGGGTCCCGGGAAAGTGTCAGGCGCTCTCAGGCGCTCTACCTGCGGAGAGAGGAGGCTCGCGATTAACCGCTTTCCCGAGAGTAGGGACCCCTCTCCTAGCCCCATTCCCCCCGGGGAGCCCCCAAACCTACACCTCTCCCCTCAGGACAGTAACACAGCCACCTCCTAATGGGCACCCATGGCAGCCCCCATCTTGGTAAGCTTTACTCCAGGTACATCATCCTGGGGTTCCCCAAAAGCTCAGCTCAAGCACATCCTTCTTCACCTTCTTCACATCCAAGACACTTAGCCCCGGCTCCCGGAGGGAGGGGCTCCTGCCTGTGAGCCTAGCACCCTAGGACGCAAGGCTGCTATGAGAGGAACTCCTGGTGTCGCCGCCTCTCACAGGAAACCCCTAACCCAGCAGCCTCAAAGCCCCTCGGAGTACCCTGAGCGCCTTCGGGAACCAGAAGTGTGAGAGGCGCCAGAGCCTTTCCTCAGAAACTGATGGTCGCACTGGTACTAGCCATCCTGTCCCCAAGGTGCGGTGCGCAGGACCCAGCCACCTGGAAAGAGCCTGCAGGTTAGCCCAAAGTTGCCTCGCCACTGGGGAAGTTGCACCGCAGCGGATGGCCTCAGAGATGCGCGGGCTCTACGCCCAGGATGGGAGAGCTGCCGGCGCCACGCTCGGTGCCACCACGAGTAGATCCCAGCGTCTTTGCAGTCCTCTAGTCTGTGGCTTTGCTGGTGGCTGGATGCGGACCGAAGGCAAGGGATGAGCGGTGGCCAGGCTGTGCGCGGACAGCGTCAGCACGCGGCGCTGTCTGAAGGTGGCCGGCTTTCCCACAGTCCAGAACTGCAGCACCACATATATCCGCTAGGGGGCAGATCAAGCCGGCCGCGGCGATCCCAGAGAGCCAGGTCAGCTCACCCACACTGTTGGTCCCTCAGATTTATTTCATAGTGGCTTGCGAATAACCTACCTAGCTTATTCCTGTCTAGGTTTAGCTCTTGATGCTCTCAGAGATGTACGAGCCTTGGATAGCGACAGTTTTTCCCAGAGTAAATTTTAATGAAGTTACATTTCTGCTCTCTCTCTCTTTCTCTCTCTCTCTCTCTCTCTCTCTCTCTCTCTCTTTCTTCCTTCTTCTTCACATTCTTTTAGGAGAGCTCGTGCAAGCCCTTGCTCTAGAATGGCTTTGTTCATATTCCCATTAAGGAGGAATTGGAAATGTCTGCTCTCCCCACCCCACTCCCGCCACCAACCTTGAGAGAAATGTTCATTTTTTAGGTAGTTAGTGATGGAAATCTTACACACCCGCCCCATCACCCCAAGTCTATCACCATTTAAGATTATTCTGCTTCTCAGTGGGCCAAAGGCTACCCCTGTCTCCTCACCAGGCTTCAAAATTAAAAATCCTAGCAGGAGCCAGAGGAAGATGAAATGGGAAGGGCTGCTCCTCCACTCCCCTGTCCTTTTCTGTTTTGAAATCATTTTTTCAACTGATTGACGGTGACAAAGGACCAAGGCAGGCACAGAAAGGGCCAGGATTAAAAATTGAACGGGGCTCTTTAACATGAATTAAATGCGTATTTCCTCCTGACATTTCATTTCTCCCTCTTCTAATTATGTGGAGAGAATTAAATGAGCCAAGGGCAGTGTTTCCTGGATCCACAATTACAGCACTGTGCCAAGATTCCCTAAGGGCAGAGTCTTCCAGGGCCTGCTCCCAGGTTCTACATGACAGCGTGCCAAGGTGGCATGGGGATTCCCTGAGCTTTAGCAATGGGAAGAGGCAAAGACTGTTCTCTTCTTGCTTTGGGACTGGATTTGGGACAGTATCCGCCCCAGCATCTGCCACACACAAATGACAGACTAAGGTTACAGAACACTCCAGTGAGAAGTGGCCTGACCTGAGACCCCAGTTTTCTCATATGTAAAATGAGGGGTCAGTGCCATCACTTTGGTTTTCTATCTGTGTATATGTGGTGTGGGTGTGCAAGTTCATGCTCACACACGGGATGGGGGGGTTCAGACCACAGCCTCGGGTGTTAATGTTCATTTGGTTTGATGCTACGTATGCCGGCCAAGCTGCCCTGGGAGTGTCCGGAAACTAAGCTGTCTCTGCCACCAGAGACGCAGAACTGGGATGACAGGAACATTTTAACATGCCTGGCTCTTACACGGGTTCTGGGGATTTGAACTCAGATCCTCACACTTTACTCACTAAGCCATCTCCTCAGCCCCTATTCTTTCTAAAGCACAATGGGAGGGTAGTGCTATCCCAGCAGGTCAAATAAGCCTGCTCTACCCCATGGCTGGATGAGGAAGGATTTGTTGGACAACCCCCTGACTGGGAGACCTGGGAAGGAAAGTGTTGGGCTTGCAGAGGTCAACCTGCTCTCTCCCTGGAGGGGAGTGACTTTCAGGGGAAGCCAGCCACTCACTTCCCCAGCACTGGCTCTTCTTCCCCACAGGCCCCATCCTGTGTGGTCCTGTGTTGCACATGGTTCCATCACATTGTAAATTTACTAAGAACGACCAAAGCTAAGTTCTCTAACTTGGCCTTCATCTGAACAAAAGCATCAGTGAAAGGCTCCCAGCCTCCTTGTTTATTGTGCAGATATTGTGCAGAAACAAGGCAGAGAGGAGAGGCTCTGCTTGCCTGAAGGTCCCTGAAGCACAGGCATGCATCCGCATCCTTGAACCCTAGCCAGACAGAAAGGCACTTATCTATTTTCAGTGTGGTGAGGATAAGTTCTAGCAGAAAGGGACAAAGTTCTTGGAGCCCTAAAGAGCTCTCAGGAAGCAGTTGGAAAAGAAATCATTCTCCTGGGACCAAAGAAGACAGGCACCCTTCCCTGAAATGCCACTGGGGTGGTGGTGCACAATGGTAATCCCATATGGATGGACTGAAGCCTGGTCCACCTCTAGCGCCGGATACACACGGTGCTAAAGGGTCTCAAAGGCCTCTTGAAGGATGGGTTTATTTAGTAACTGTGTTCCCCTAGCCTGGGAGGAAAGGCTTTCTGTGATGATGCTCAATTTGTAAATTTGGCCTTGAGTGCCACTGAAAGTGACAGGATGTGTGCTTCTTTCTCCGTTCTGCCTTACTCCCTTTGATTCACCAAGGATAAAGTCTGACAGAGTGAGAGCCAAGAGCTCCAGGGCCGAAGCTGGTCAGTGCGCAGTAATTATATGAGAAAAGCCCAAAGTAATGGTGCAAGAGGAACGGGGGCTGGGAAACAGCCACAGAGAAGATGAACGGCAGAGAGTAGCCTTGAGGGTCTGGTGGCCCCAGACAGATGCCACAGGCGTGTGTGGAAACTAGAAAGTACATCAACCAGAGTCAACCAGAGAAATAGAATCAGGGCTGGAGACGTGGCTCAGAGGCTAAGAGCATTTGTTACTCTTACAGGTTCATCCATCCTGGGTCAGTTACAGTATATAACTACAGGTCCAGGAGATCCAATGCCCTCTTTTGGCCTAGAAGGGCACCTGCATGCATGTGTACACACACACACACACACACACACACACACTTCTTTAAAAGATGAAGTAAAATCAGCTGAGCTTTGTGGCCCACATCTTTAATTCCAGCACTTGGGAGGCATAAGCAGGTAGGTAGACCTTTGTGAGTCCAAGGTCAGCCTAGTCAACATAATGAGTTCTAAGACAGCCAGAGCAATATAGTGAAACCCTGTCAAAAAAAAAAAAAGACAAAATCAGTAAGTCCCTAATGTGTAAAAATATGTATTTAGCTAAAGAATGGCTTGTGTGTTATTGAGGCTGGCCATCTGCAGCCCTGGTACAGAGATGATGATGATGCATTTCAAGTCAGAAAGTATTTGCTACAACATTTCTTCTTGCCTGGGGGAAGCCATTCTTGAGATAATATAGGACTTTCCAGTGGTTAGACCAGGCCCATTCATTCTCACTATGGGGCAATCAGGCAATCCACTCCACTCAAAAAATTTCAGTTATCCCTGCCCCCCCCCCAAAAAACACCACCACAAAACCTTTCAAAATAATGTCTGACCACAAAGCATAGTCCTGCCCAGCTGACCTCCAAAGTAAAACATCACCTAGGAAATCCCACAGTGGCTGTTGTGCACACCTCCCCCCACCTCAGTGGCCAAGCAGAGTGGCGTTGCACATACTGGTGCCTCAAAAGGCCCAGAACACAGCAGAATGGGTTCTCTGTGTGTGCTTATTAAATATAGAGAGATAGAATGAGGGGGGAAATGAGAGAGAAATAAACATTTCCCATGGTTGCTTCCCTCTCTTGAGAGCAGGATCACCACCTGGAGAAGACGCCCTAAAGAATGCCTCCCCCCGCCACACACACACACAGTACCCGCCTGGGAAGGAGTTCAGTAGCTTGGTAGTTTTCAAGTTCTGGAAACTTTAGCCTCTCTGCAGTCAGTGAGGAAATGAGTGGCCACTGCCTCCAGTCCCTTCCCTCCAGGAAATCATCTCTGCTTGGGCTCCCGCCTCCAGAAGGTGTCAGTAACTCGCTCAGGCCTGATGGTGGTGAACACACTGCCATCATCTTCCTGCTGCTGACAGCCTTGCCCTTGGCCTTCTTCATTTGCTGCTGCCAGCGAGAGGCCAGGGACAGCAGGACATGTGGACTGGCCTGGCCTGGGAAGTTCAGGGAGTGGGCGTGTTTGGATGCCAGCTTGCAGCTGTAACAAATTATTCGCCCAGCCGGCATCGTTTTGGAGCCCTCATCCCGTGTTTTCATTCCCGTGTTCCTTGGAGGGTGAAAAAAGAAAGAAAAACATGCTTTTTGTATTGGAGAGAACTCTGAACCCGCCAGGATAAGCAATGCTGTGTGCCTTCTCCTTGAATGATCAACTCAATGAACCTCTCTAGGACTCAGTTTCCCCAAATGTTGACACACACACACCCCCCCCCCCCGGGGCTGTGCAAGCAAATAAGAGTTAGTGTATATGAAGAGTGTTTTACAAACGGCTGAAGTCCCGTATGACTTGAGTCTTGTTCCCATGCTGACAATCCCCACTCCGGGAGCACCCTGTGGAAACAGTAGTGCAATCGGCCTCCATCTTCACCACTGATGGAGCGCAGGTGTCTTTTCAGTTCAGTGAGACAAAAGTACATGGGGGTGGAGGTATAGTGTGCCAGTAATTCCTTCTAAACTAATTGGTGCGCTGGGTACACCAAGCCCTCACTGCTTCAGAGGGGCCCTTCCTGACCACCTGGGTTCTTAAAGAAGATGCCAGTTTCTGAGGGTCAGCAGGTGGCCACAGATTTCCCCTCACAACATGAATGCTCCCATTCAGGCGATGAGTGCCTCCATTTGGCCCCCGCTCACTGACCTTTGTATACACACCTATTACTTTTCCTGTCATCTGTGCCCATCAATGAAAATGTGACCAGAAAAATGATTGATGCCTTCCCGAGAACATCCTTCAATAAATCAACCGCCGGGGCCAGGTCCTTGCTTCCTGGAAACTTGGTTCCAGGAACGGAGCAGAAGGAGGGCTTCTTGTAAGAAAGTACGTCATTTATAGGCATGTGCCGTTTTCCCCTAGGGGCACCGATGGCTGAGCCAAGACAGGAGACTTCGCATTTTGAAGCCAAATTGCTCACCAGCAATGGGTGTGACAGCATAAGCTGGCTACTGAGTAGGTTCAGGAGAACATCCTCTCCAGCCGGACACTGTCGACCTGCGCCAAGACA